TTGAAGAGTTTCAAATAGAGGAAAAATTACAACTAAGGAAACCAACCTTAGCAGTTTCACCAGCACCACGTGTCCGCCCCAATTCCGTGAGTATAATGTGGAAAATGAGACAGCCCACGGCGGTGCAATTTGGTCGTATAGGCTATACGACCGAATATGCACTGCCGACGACTGCGTAATTTGCCCATATGGAAGGCATGGAGACTGTGCACAACGAGGGACAGTATACCAACTCCAGTGCTTCAACCTGTAACGAAGTTTACATCGGAGAGACGGGCAGAATGTTAGGATACGCGTTAAAGAACATCTGGCAGGAAAAAGGCGAGGGAACCTGGTTACTCCACTTGGCAAGCACCGGTTAGAAGATCACCAGGGCAATGATTTTAATATTGAGTGCAGAATCCTTGCCCGCGAGGATGACATCGGTGCTAGAAAGATGTTGGAAGCGTTCTATATCCGCGCTCGAAATCCAAAGCTAAATAACCGGAAATGAATGCATTGCCATTACAAATGAATTCCTGCCTTTCATTCCTTTATGTGGATTGTGAGATATTCACATATGGCACGTATGACGCTTCACTGTCATGTGTGTCTCATTTTCCACATATATTGACGGAATTGGGGTGGACACGTGGCGCTGGTGGAGCTGCTAAGGTTGGTTTCCTTAGTTGAATTTTCCTCTATTTGAAACTCTTGAGGAGTATCGTGGGGACTGACCGGGTAAGTTACAAGCTAAAACTTCGAACCGACTTCAGGTCCTGAAGACGACGAGTTGTTCGAAACGTCGACCGAATAAATAAGTTCCACCGTAACAACCTGTATGGCAAAGAAAAACAAGCAATATTTTCAACATGCCCAGGTTTCAAGAAGACCGAACATGGAATCTATTCCAAGGTTACTTCTCGTCAGACCACGAGTTGAGAACTGTTTTTCTTGACACTTTTGCTGTTTCTTGACAGTAGCAGCAGTGGCGCACGTTTTCTTCGGAGTCTCGATTGATGTTCATCCAATAGACATATCCTCTGGCGAGCATTTTCATTCGTGTCATTCCCGGATGTCCCTTGTGTAGTTGCTTCAGTTCTGTTCCACGTAGAGACTTCGGAATGACAATCTGTGACCAAAATACAGGCATCCGTCTTGCGTAGACAGTGCATGTCGTAGAGCTTTCCAATCACGCATGTTCTCTTCAGGCTTCGCTGGCCATGATCCTTGTCTGAGCAATTTGGTGATCTTCGATATCTCTGAGTCTTTCCTAGACTCTTCCTGGATCGAAGTTCTGGTCACCGGTAGTGCGTCTATGAAAGCTGAGGGCGTCGCCCTAAGGAAGTGAGAAGCGGAGGGGAGGAAGAGGTCGCGGTCCTCGGCCGCTGCTGCCAGACGTCTCCTCTGGTCGGCGGTGTCGCTCGTCTCCGCCCTGAAAGGGATGAGTCAGCCAAAAGAAAAGAACTAACAGGGTACTGGTGACCGATATGCTTACACTATCAGTAGCAGAGACTGGGAAAAACACAGCGCCAACCTTTTCCGCTGTTAGACGGAAGAAATTTGAGTTTGAATAGAAATGAGACAGGAATTATGAGACAACCCCATACATCAGGTAGTATATATTTCTAGAGCGCACTTCCTGTCCTATTCGTTGACTTGCTTCACTTTCATATACGCTGTAAGTCAGGTCAAATTTTAAGCTTGAATGGTAAGCTGTTTATGTACGAAAATAACCACATTGCATTGAAAAAATTTCCCTGAGGACGAGAAAATCAACCAGGCGTACATTCCTAACTTAGTCATGACTTGTTCTTGACATTCTACTAGTTTTTCAATGTCTCGGCTGTAAAAAAAAATTGGGCAAGATTCCAATAGAAGGTGCAAGATCGTGGAACTCTTGCAATAAAGCTAAGTCTGAAGAAAGACCGATGCGACTTGATAGGGAGCCTAATAGCGGAGTGTTTGGGAGAGGTCATGACTAAGTAGAGGGTACATCATTGATTGATTTCTCCAAGGAAAATAAAGTTAGAGCTAGTTGTCGGTTTGGTCAATTTTTGTCGGCTGGACCTCCCATTTCGCAGGCCTAAAATTTGAAAACCCTGTAACTAATGTGGAAAGCAAAAATAGGTTTTTGTGGAGCAGGCAATTCCTTTCCGAAAGGTAGGTTGGTGCGGCAGCGAAGGATTTCAGCAGAAAATTTCTGGGTTTGAACAGAAATGACAATACTTATGGAACACAAGACCCATTACGAGAGGATCACCATTTAAAGAGAGCCAATTACGCCGCCTGAATTAGAACTCA